AATAATAATATAATAATACATACATACATACATACATACATACAATTCTTATCAATTAACAGAAAATGTTTTAAAAACAGTTCATTAAGGGGCGAGGGAGATAGCTCAGTAGAAAAAGCGCTTCACTTCCCTGGCAAGCACAAGGGCCTGAGTTTAATCCCTGGTTCAGCCAAAAAATAAATAAATAAGTTCAGATCAGGCACATAGCTCTGCAGATTAAAGCACCTGCTTAGGCAGCCGCAGGGAGGAGAGTTCTATCCCCGGCTTGACCTGCAGGTCCTACCCCTGGGGCACAGTGAGAGAGCGATTGAGGCTGGACATGGTGGCTGTATCTAATCCCAGGGCTTGGGAGGCTGAAAACAGGATCACTACCTCTGATCTGTGTAGTGAGACCCTGTAGGCACTATACCAAGTACATAAAAATATGTGAGGATTACCAACATAAGTTTGATTACAGAAACTAATTCAATTATTTGCTAAAAAATGCTTACTAGCATTGTGCATATTTAATGAATTATACTTAACTACTTTATAACATAGTATTACCAATACAAAGTAGTAGTGGAAGTCTAACCCCAACTCATTTGGGACAGGGCCTTCTTGATAAACTGCCCAGCCTGGCCTTAAAATGACAGTGTTCCTGTCTGGGACACCCACTGCCACTCTTATGTGGAAGTCCAGTCTTAGGGGCTGGGGAGATAGTTAGGTGGTCTAAGTGCCTGCCTGGCGAGTGCAAGGTCCCGCATTCCATCCCGGTACCACACACCATGCTGGCCTGTCATTGGGTGTGGTAGTGCGTGCCTGTAATCCCAGCACTGGGGAGGCTGAGACAGGACGGTCACTACAAGTGCAACCTGCGTAGTAAAACCCTGTACCACACAAATAAGTAAAAGATATTTTTTTTAAATTAAGAAAAAGAAGTCCAACCTTTATAACATGGTGGTAGTCTTTCCTGTAGGGCTGATTCCTTACAGCCAGCTGACTGCCAAAAGGAGCTAATGGTTCCCTTCCTTTGGACCAACTGACAGCTGGCAGTGTTGGAAACAGCCCTTGCTGGACATGTTCAAAATGTTGTGGATTTTTTTTTTTTTTTTTTTTTTTGGCAGAACCGGGGATTGGGGCTGGAGAGATGGCTCAG